AGCACTGCAAGAGCCCAGCAGAGTCCACAGCAGAGGGAGAGTCTTCTGCTCCACCAGCTGAGGCCTGCGGGGATACAGGTCACACACCACCTCTGCCACACACACACACACACACACACTGATGATTAACACAGCAGGTTCACACTGATTTACATAGACACACACTGCGACACAGATTTAGCACCAGATCTGATAACACACACTCATGATCAACAAAAATACATTATTATTATTATTATTCTGATAAAGCTCCTCCAGACTCACCTGCTACTTTCTCGATCAGGTCCAGCTTTGCTTTCCCGCTCAGATACTGTGCTTTAGAGCAGAAGGGCTGCAGCAGGAGACTGTTGTCTGAAACACACACAGAGTCACTACAGTCAACACACACTGAAACACAGCTCAACACACTGCTGAACACACACTCATGTAGAGGTTAAAACACTCCAGCAGTAGGACTTTCATTTAAGGTGATGTAATGCTTAAGGACTGATAGCTCCGCCCTAAATAACTGATAGTCCCATCCTAAATCACTGATAGCCCCACCCTAAATTACTGATAGCCCCACCATAAATTACTGATAGCCCCACCACAAATTACTGATAACCCCACCCTAAATCACTGATAGCCCCGCCCTAAATGACTGATAGCCCCACCCTAAATGACTGATAGCCCCGCCCTAAATGACTGATAGCCCCACCCTAAATGACTGATAGTCCCGTCCTAAATGACTGATAGCCCCACCCTAAATCACTGATAGCCCCACCCAAAATTACTGATAGCCCCACCCTAAATGACTGATAGCCCCGCCCTAAATTACTGATAGCCGGCCCTAAATGACTGATAGCCCCGCCCTAAATGACTGATAACCCCACCCTAAATGACTGATAGCCCCGCCCTAAATGACTGATAGCCCCACCCTAAATCACTGATAGCCCCACCCAAAATTACTGATAGCCCCACCCTAAATGACTGATAGCCCCGCCCTAAATTACTGATAGCCGGCCCTAAATGACTGATAGCCCCGCCCTAAATGACTGATAACCCCACCCTAAATGACTGATAGCCCCGCCCTAAATGACTGATAGCCCCACCCTAAATGGCTGATAGCCCCACCCTAAATGGCTAATAGCCCCACCCTAAATGACAGATACCCCTCCCTAAATGACTGATAGCCCCGCCCTAAATCACTGATAGCCCTGCCCTAAATCACTGATAACCCCACCCTAAAATAGTGATAGCCCCACCCTAAATGACTAATAGCCCCGCCCTAAATGACTGATAGCCCCGTCCTAAATGACTGATAGCCCCGCCCTAAATGACTGATAGCCCCACCCTAAATGACTGATAGCCCCACCCTAAATTACTAATAGCCCCACCCTAAATGACTGATAGCCCCGCCCTAAATCACTGATAGCCCTGCCCTAAATCACTGATAGCCCTGCCCTAAATCACTGATAACCCCACCCTAAAATAGTGATAGCCCCACCCTAAATGACTAATAGCCCCGCCCTAAATGACTGATAGCCCCGTCCTAAATGACTGATAGCCCCGCCCTAAATGACTGATAGCCCCACCCTAAATTACTAATACCCCCACCCTAAATGACTGATAGCCCCGCCCTAAATGACTGATAGCCCCGCCCTAAATGACTGATAGCCCCGCCCTAAATGACTGATAGATAGTCCTGCCTTTAAGCACTGATAGCTGTGGTGAATGATGTAGTTGTGTAGCACTGACCGATGTTGTGTGTGAGGGCCTGCAGTGCCGCCAGCGCCGCCGTGTAGACGAGTGTGTTTTTGGAGTTGAGGTGATTGTCCACGAGCGCCGGGATGAGGATGTTGAGCACTGGAGAAAGATGATCTCTGAGCAGAGTGATGATGGAGTGCAGAGCCTCCAGAGCGCGCAGATTCACCTTACTGTTAGACTCCTGCAGACGCGCCTTCAGACAGTCAAACACCTGCAGCACAACACACACAGCATCAGCTCAAACCTGCAGGTGTTATGTGTGTTGGGCTTTTCAGCATGTAAAACAGCATCAACATCTGTTACACTCCACATGTATGTAAAGAATTGGTATTTAAACATTGAATTATTAGAAGATCATGCAGACGGGAGCTTCCCATACTGCAGCAGTCTATATATTCTACATCTATGCTCGTTACACTTTCAGTCATTAGCGGGATTAAAGCTCCAGTGAGGAAGAAAGAGCACCTCTATTGATTTCCAGAAGCTGCTAGAGTGTTTCTTCAGAGCATGTGATGAGTGTGTGTGTGTGTGTGTACCGGGAACAGGCTGCCGATGACCAGAGCTGGGTTTTCCTCACAGTCACACACCAGCTGATCGATGGCCTTCATCCTCTCCCTGAAGTCTCTGGAGTTGAGGAGCGTCTTCATCTGCTTGACGTACTCGCTGCGCTCTGCCAGACTGTGAGCGCACGCTTTACTGAGAGACGGATCCCTGCTGGACACACACTCATGAGTGTGTGTGTGTGAGAGTGAGTCTGTGTGTGTGTGT